GGGTCCCACCGCCTCAGACACCCCCATCTGGAGTAAGCACGCAGCCTCAGCTCGCAATGGCCTCGCAGTCATCAGACATGAGCTGGTTGAACCTCGGTGACCGCTCTCGTCAGTAGAGCAGCCGCAGTTTTTATGAACTGATGATGTCTTTAAGTTCTGCATGCACATTGTGAGCTACTGAGATACCCCAATCGTGCTTGGCACACGTACCCCTTACAAGCGAATAGTCGTTTTCAGGTTAAACCCATCGCTTTGAGCACACATTACGCTCTATCACTCTCATTCACTACCCTCATCTTGGTGCATGTACATATCGGCACACGCACTCGATCACACTCCCTACTCGTACCAGACCTAGTGTCTTTCCGAGAGAACCTATTTTCTTTTCTTCTTTTTGATAAAGTATCGCATGAACCGGCGTCGGCGTGTATATCAGCCGGCTTAATCTTGCTCGTCTTCATTTGTGTCTTTTTCTTGGCGCCGCTTTCATCCTTTACATTCTAGACGTGGACCCGGGATTGATCGTTATTTCCCGTCCCTTTTTTCTTTTCCGATCGTTGTTGTTGTTTCTAATGATACCACCATCTCCTGACGTATGTAATTGGCTAGTGTAGCAAGAAAAGGGGACCTGGAGGGGATGATCAAAGATGATGGAGATATTGGATGGGGCCAAAAGGGATGCTGGGTTGAGTTGAGGTTTGATGACGAGAAGGGGACGTGACTGCTGGCCGAGGTTGAGCGGCGGCAGTCAGTTTTGTTAGCTCTTGAGTCATATCTGGATGTGAAGGGAAGCTGGAGGAAGCCAGGGCTGTAAAGCCGAAGTTCCTCGAAACCAAAATACTTGCACAATATTCTCCATTCTGTACCTCTATACATGTGACTTGTGTGTTGTTGCAAACACGACTTGGTTAAAGTAGGAACTGGTCATCCAGTTCCATTGTTGGGTCTTGTTCGACGGCGAGCTCTGGTGTGGCTAGCTAGACTAAGGGCGTTGTTGTGTGATACGATATAATTCCCAATTATACTCTCGCAGCCACCAACCATCCCCGCCTTGGAGATCGTCTGTCATCAGCGTCTTGGTCATGTTCAGGACCTGAATGATAGGGAATCCGTAGTCATCTCTGTACACCATTACCAGCATCAGAGTTTGCACAAGCGGCGGGCCGAGCCTTATCTTTCATTATGACCACGTGCTTCACCAAGCAATCGAGCTTATTAGTGTATCCTGAATGATGTAACTCGATTCAGAACATGGCTTGATGTTAGATACGAAACGTAGCCCGCCTTTATTCTGAGAGTCCTGTCCCCTGGAAAGAAGTTCACGGTACGAAGGTTGGTCACGGATCATTCCTAGGCACTGATTCAAATACCCCTCGCACGAAATCCCCATTGCTACTAGGTACCTACGCATAGTGAGATATCTACAAAGTGCACAATTGTAGAGTTTTCTGCAGCTTGAAGCGGTACGACGCCTTGGGACGTATCTCCATGTACTGTTGAGCCTCACCCCAGGTTCACGTGGGGGCATGTTAAGCGAGGAGCTCGGTGAGCGTTTCTGGTAGGTTGCCTCGCGGTGGGCGAGGGAATAAGAATTTTTGGGGAGTATCATGATATTTTGACAAGTGGAATCAAGAGTCCATGAAGTTGAAAGGTGAATAGATCTAGATCTAAGGAGTTTTGCTCATCACGAATCGATGAACGTAAGATGTAGATTCTGTGCTGTGTTTGAAACAGTTGATGAAATGGCTGAGCAACACCCTTGAGTTCTCATGCCATGCAGTTAGTATAATAACGGTATGAAAAGCATAACAATAATTTCTTTCTGGCCTTTTCCTACAAAAGTACGAAGCACTAGAGACTGGGTAGTATCTCGTACAGAGTTGCGTCAGTCACCATAGGTACCCAGTTTGGACGGGCCAGAACCTCACAGGAACCTGAGAAATCTCCGGAGGCTGTCGCCTGTAGTAACTGTTTTGGTTGCCATTAAGTTTCCGTCCAGTGGGCCCCCGGAGCCAAGCGAGGATAATGGCGTTTTCAGGGTCTTGTTGGCATCCTGGTTAGTGACGATCAAGCGGCTCATTGATGAGTTTGAGAGATTTTCTCAGCTGCTGAGCTGGTGGCTGTGTTCTTTGGGATGAGGGCTCAACATTGACTGACTGTAGGCACTGGACGATTATGAGCCAAAAAAATAGGAAGGGGACTCACGTTTGAACCTAGCCTGGGATGCTAATGATCCTTCTGCAATGCAATGCAAGGCACAGATGATAAACCTTTTTGCAGATCTCTCCGTACCTATCACCCCTGGGGCAAGGAAACGTCTGGCATTGAACTAATGTGTCAAAGATAACCAATCTAAGCTGCTCTAAATCTATAGGACTTAAATTATACTAGATTTAGAATATAATCAAGTCTTTTTGGTGTTTGGGATAGGGTTCCCGATTTTCTTGCCTCTCCTTGCTATACCACGGAAGACGTTGCCGAGGGTGAAGGGTGATCCTGGTCGTCGGAGGAGGGTAGTCAGATTGGGAGAGAATCATTCGGAGTAATGTTGAATGTGGAATACGAATAAGTGAATATGAGTGGATGAAGTTCGATGGAGAGGCTCAACAAGCTTCTGTGCACTAAGGGAATGATATTGAAGAAGAGTTGGAGAAGCCAAGGTCCACAACAAGACTGAATGAATGAGAGCCGTACAACTCCCGAGAGAATGGGAACCAATGCGAGGAAATATATCGTAGGTAGCTATGTTCGTTGTCAAAATTGATGATCAGTAATGCCTGGAGCTATCTGCCAGACAAGCAAGTAAGTCCTCAAAGAAGTTGGCTCTGGGCATTGCAGAATTCCATAGACACATATATGGATGGGAGCCTCCCTCACCTAAGAGATGCATTCTACCTAGGTACAAAGGTACATGCCCTGTCCACTGATCTGTCAGAGCTGAAGAAAGAGCCATGAACGCATCGGTTGCCCAAACAGAAGCTCAAACATGTCCAGAAACTCGGGGAAGGATGGACTTGACATGGCTCCCATGCAGCACGGCCAAATTCCAATTCTGGTAGGCGAGTCAGAGCCCAGCGATGAGTTTTACAGGGCCTATTACGGAGGAGAAAGTCTGGTCCCCCAAGCTAACCCGAGCAGTTAAACTACCTAAACTGAATACTGGCAACCTTACGCATAGACCAGGCGGATATCCACCACTTAGAATTGTCCGCGGGTAGCGTGCGTTTGCGTCCAACGAAGGAAAAGATGAAGTTGCGTTGATGGTAGCCCTGGATTAGTAGGGAGGTGATGTAAAAGTTCAGAAATCCTAGTAAAAATTCCAAGATGAGGGTCAGTAGGACAGATCTTTCTTCGTGCACTCAAGGTACTACTCATCCACCCTTACCTACTAAGGTAGACATGTATCAAGAAACTTCTTGCTACTAGGTTAAGTAAGGTACCTAGGTACCGAAGGATTCCGATTTTCTTCCTTGGAGCCTCTAGTCTACTAGTGTGAGAGACCGCTGCAGAAGAGTCTCGGAACAAGGGACATCCCACGCCCGCGGCAGACTCAAGTGTCGCAGAGTCTAGGTAGGTAGTCACATGAATAAGAACATGTAAAACTCTAAGAGATAGAACAGAGGTCAAGATGGAAATTATCATGTGAGGGAAGAAAGGCAATGAGCAATGCAACTTCAACTCGGCTCTAGTCTATTATCCTCCAGCTCAGTAATAGTCAGTAGCATCTCAGACAGAAAATCCACCCCGTGAGCCATGCTCGTGAAGGTTCTTCTGGTGTCTGGCCCTGGATGACACCAAAGAAATGAACTTCTACACCAACCAGATACGGGCATTGACCCCTGCCATGGAATGACCCCCTCCATCACCCATCCATCTCCCGCAGGACATTGTCAGCTGGGGATCACCAATTAGAGGATATCGTCAAGGGAGATGGTGGGAGGGACATCCCACTCCCCAAGTACTGGTACTTGTTGCATCCCTGCCCTTTGACAAGTCGCTCGATGGATTTCCCTGGCGGAATTGACAACCGCTTCGTTCATGGTGACAGCTCGACAAGAAAGTGAAGAAGAAGAAAAAGCGACACTTTGGCTCCTCAGGCTCCTCCCCGCCTGCCCGCCTCTAAGGTAGTTCGTTCACATTAAGCACAGGACAACCTAAGAGAGTGGTGACCGGCTATTCTCCACCAAAATGGACCGTACGAGAACCCCACTCTCACCTACGGGTAATAAACTCCACTCTGTCGACAAAAAGTCTCTTTACATTCAGCGGTTGAAAAGAAAAGCAACTGAACTGAACTGCCCGTCGTCGCCCGCCCACTTTGGATGAACCTACTGTACCTACTACTAAAGGTACAGTAGTTGCTAAGGGTGCCACTATACGACCAACCACCTTTAGTTTGGACTCTTCGATTTAATTGACCAAGACTTGAATCAGTCCTAGTCTACCTTAATATTGGCTTGTCTCGTCTTCCGTCCGCGTCCAAGCTTGCGTCTTCGTTTCTTAGGTTCCTCTCCCACAGTTCGTTGGCATCTATCTACATACACCTACACTCATATCCGCACATCGCTTCCAGAACGGTCGACACTCTCCCTGGTCCTCTCATCACCTTCTGTTGTTCCTCAGGTCAAATCGTCATCGTGGTCTCTGCTTCCAATTTCGGCCCCCTCACAACTCTTTTGCGGCATCGGCATCGCAGGCTTTCTCGTCTCCGCGCCATTGTCAGATATTTCCGTTGCATGTATCTTCGCCGATCAGCTGGATACTCACCGACCAACTCCGACTGGAACGCATCTTGATACTGTATCTCGGCTGTTTCTATTCTGTAAATATCTCTCGTCACCTTCGCTTGGTGTCAACTTTCTCCGCTTTTGGTGCTGCTTCAACGACTAGTTCCATCTTGTGCAGCCTTGACTGGCGCAATTCACGACTCGCCCGGCTGATCAGATAAACTCACTTGTAATTGCCTATATTTGATCAACACCCGCCGCAACCCGGCAATGATGAGTTCGACGGTATGGAACGGGCAGGACCAGACAATGGCCTCGACTGGCGAGGACGACTTTCATCAATTTCTCGACATGAGCAGCATGGGAACTTTGGGCGATGGCATGCACTTCGACTTCCAATCTTTCCAAGATGGCTCTGCTCAGGGTCTGATGAACCAACCGCGAGATGCCCCCGACACAATAATGACCGACTCCGATAATCCAGGCCTAATGTCTACACCAAACACGATGCCCATGTCAACGTCTACCGTTCAATCAACCATTCCCGCGCACATGATGACGCCCGCAAGCGATCCGATTTCTAATATCGACGCCCAGATTCAATATCTCCAACAACAAAAGTTCCAACAGCAGCAGCGCCAGATGCAAGAGCAGCAGGTCGCTTTCTTCCATAATCACAACCACTCAGTGCCCCCTACACCGCAAAGTCTCGAGATGCCCAACAGTGGACAGTTCTATTCACAGGCTGAGCAAATTCCAACATCAGGTGCTTACGACAGAAGTTATCACCAACGCATAAAGGAGCAAGATGTAAGACCCCAGTCCATCACCAATGTCCTTCTCTGCATGTCATATTGCTAACTTGGTTCTAGATGGCATTCACACCTCTTGTTTCCCCCGCAGTAACCCCTTTGGACCCCAACTTCTCCATGGACAGTGGCTATACGATTCCCAGCGCCTATTTTAGTCCTCTGACTTCACCAGCTCTCCACGCTCAGAACGACCCCTCTACAGTCTACGACCCCCGCCTTACCAACACCAACAATTCACCAATTGATGTAGATCTCGACAGATCGGCTGCTCCCGTCACCTCCGTTTTGGACTTGCCCAAGAAGGCTACAAGGAAAAAGACCGCAACCAAGACACGGGCAAAGGCTAGCATTCGAAGTTCTCCAATTGTCAAGCCTCAGCGCCGGAAAACGGGCCCCAGTCCGGCCATCGTCTCACATGTACTCAGTGAAGTTGAAGAGAACAATGGCGCCTTTCTTCCTATGCCTGCGACCTCTACGGACACCTCGGCAGAGGAGAATTCATCGGTTTCCCCTGAGGCCCTCTCGGAGATGCCCCCACCGCCAATCCCTAATAGGAGATCGACCAGCAAATCGCCATACATCCAAGCGCAGTCAAGCAACCAGCAGACGCCCGTCTCTGGCCCTGTTGATTCACGTCCAGCTCCAGCTACTCCCGCATCGCTCATGAAACTCCCGGCATCCAGGGCAAGCAAGCAGGCAAATGGGCCTCAAGAACCGGTTGTATCTGAGCATATTGAATCGCTCGAGTTGCCCGAGTCGGTATCTGGCAAGACCATGACCCCGGTCATCTCGCGCTCTTCCGTGCAGTCTCCTTCTGTGGAACCCATGTCTCGACGAGGATCGAGCTTTCAGCCACTGCCATCACCAGTATTCACTAAGGCTTCAGGAACAGCATCAGCAAGTGCGAGCCCCCAATTGGCTCCCGGTTCGGCAGGCCCATCCGCACGGAAAACTCCTCAACTCGCGCCTCGGTCGAGCAGGAAAAGGTCGACAGGTTCAGTACATGTTTCGCCTGCATTGTTACCTCGAATATCCCCTAGCATCAAGCCTCTTCTCCCTGGCACACCGGGTATGACACCAGCGGAGAGTGCTGCATCGCAATTGCTCATGTCGAAATCCAACTACCAAAATATCCTCGAGGGCAACAAGGTGCCAGGCGTTTCATATCCGAGCGAACTTTCAACAAATCTAACGTCGAAGCGAACGTCGCACAAAATCGCAGAGCAAGGGCGCCGTAACCGAATCAACTCGGCGTTACAGGTCATGGCTGGATTATTGCCTGGTGGAGACAAGACGAATCTTGCGGATGAAGGTGACAAGAAGGATGGGAAACAAGCGAACGCGCAAAACAGCAAGGCTAGTGTTGTCGAAAACGCCATCGTGCACATGAAGAGCCTTGAGAAAGAAAATGGCGATCTGAAGAAAGAGGTCGAGGAACTTAAAAGACGGCTGGAGGGCTTGCAAGGGTCAACAGACGATAAAGAAAAAGCATGACGAAGAGGATCTGGGTGCATCTAGTTCACCACATGATATACACAGGCGGGAACTTCCCTGGTACATAATCGGATGGGTCTGGCACATGATGGGATCAACTCTCTTCGTAATATCCTCAAGGGCGGCAGCGATTTTTGTTTCGGCGTTTTGCTTGGGATGTTGAATGGGGTGGATACTAGACGGGTGCCTCTGGGCCTAGATGGGCTTGTTGTAGAGTGTATTTGTTGAATTCGCTAGAAGAGGCAATGGATAACCTAGCAAAACGAGTGATTGACGGCCTCAGAAGAGTTGTGGAGCATGGAAATACCAAAACTAATAAATAACAAAGGTTCAGTTAACAAGCACAGTGAGGCGAGACATGGGTCCAAGCTCTAAGATGTCGAGGAGTGACATGAAACAGATGATGAATGTGGTGAAGTAGTTTGGCTAGGTGTCTATCCATAGATCATTGTTTATTGTTGAATGACAATGGATGACTGTTATTGTTGATGATCAAGAACGTCAGTATCTAACTGCTCCATAACCTCCACCACAAGTTTCAAGCTCTCCATGAAGCCGTTGACAGCGACTCGGAGCATTCGATTGGTTGTGGCCCTGTACTGAACCTCGAGAAGCTGTACATCTGCATCGCCACCAGACGGAGAACCCTGCGTTGACATCGGCGCTGGGACAACGGTGAGCTGTCGCCTGACGAGTGGGGAGAGCTCAGGGTCCACCTGAATGGCCTTGAGGGCGGTTGTGGCCAGTCGAGCGGTGGGAAAGGGGACGTTGAGGACACTGAGGACAAGGGTAGGGGTCAGCAAAGAGAACGAGAACAACAACAATAACAACAACAGCCAGCCAGCCTTGGCCTTAGTAGCCTCAGACTTGGGGGTCGTCATCGTCACAGGACAGGGGGGTGGCTTGCATGGAGCAGGGAAATTCGGGATCGGGAAGGGCGGTCATGGTTGTGATTGTGGCGGAAGTGGACACTGCTTTGGTAACGACGCTCTAATCTCTCTTGCTTGTTGTGATCGATCTATTCGTTTCCCGATGCTTAAAAATATTCTGGTCGTGCGGTAGTTTTGATAATGACGATACTAGCGTTGGCCTTTGCCGTGACAAGGAATGGAGATCTAGTCCGGAAATCGAAAGGACAGGAACGTCAACCCCTGGGAAGTTTTGCGGTTTGATTCGATAGCGAAGAGGGTCTCTTTTGAAATAGTTGAGCTAGATGTGAGTATAAGTGACAGGATGTGTATTTGAATGTGAGTGAAGTGAGTTTGTGTGTGACTCTGATCTTGAAAAAGATTGGAGGTTTCTGACAGATGCGTGGGGATGAGATTGATTGGCCGTGGGGGAATCTATTACAGGAACCGGGCGGTAAATTCAAGACCATTGACGTTGTAGATTTATGGCACAGCCACAGAAAAAGCCACAGCCGGGGATGGTTCGATTGGATCACAACAATGAGTGCCATAGTACGGATAGAATCTAAGTACCTTATTTGGATACCCTTGGAATCTGTTGCATTTGTTCCATTTAGGAAATCAGGCCTGCAGTTTTAATTGCAGATGCCCCTGGTGTAACACACACTACCTTAGTTTGCCAAATTCCCCAAGATGAAAGCGTTTATGCTGAGCTATAGCTGTTTAGTTTGATATCATAACAAAGTCTATCAAAACAGACCTGATTGCCTATTTAGGGTAGAGTGCTTGGGATATGGCCTTCACTACCTACCTGGGTAGGTACCTTACCTTATGTTAGAACGGTTTTTATTGCCGTAAATGGAAGTCGCGTGAGGAACAAGTGGAAGTGCTGGTTGTTTAATACTCACCAAACCTACCAAGACCAACGACGCATGGGACTTACAGCTGGGACTGGGACTGGGACTGGGACTGTAGCGGAATGGTATGTTGTGGTCCCAGGGCCCAGGCCAAGTTAAAAAGTCACTGTTGCTGTTGCTATGGCAATAGCACCAAGGAGCAACCTGTTTCGGGCAGGGGCCAAAAAACAACGACAATCGCCCATACAAAAGAATCGTTAGCCCAGTGTCCAATCTTACATCAACATCGTCAACCAAGAACTTCAATTCTTTTCCCTTCCCCAACTTTGCCTTCTGGCTTTTGGTGCTTTCTCCTGTCCGCGCTGGAGCTGGACTTGAAGACCCCCCTTCTTTAACCTCACCTGTTAACGCCAGCCTACCTACCTTGCCTTTTTAGCTCACTCAACGCTGCAGCTTGCCGTTGTCAAAGGCAATTCGTCCCCGGTCACCGCCTGCTCTGGCCATTTGTCGCTCGTCGCATTGAGACATCGTCGCTGCTTCAATTCACTGACTTTGTACATCTTGCTTAAATCTGATATCTTCCGACTGCATTCGAAAGCTCCTGCTCTTTTTTTGTTCAGCAACAGCCTCTGGACGGTCCCACCGCCAGCCTCCCTGAAGCGTGAAGCCTGAAGCGCAAGTCAATATCAACAACATCCAATAATAACAACATGGCTCCTTCTACCAGACAATCGCAAAACATGGCGCAGATAGTCGAGTACATACCAGGTAAATCTTTGCTCTCTACAACACATCATTCATAAGATGGCCTCTTGGCTATTCAGGGCCATGTCGCATTGTTATCCTTTCCAGTTTTCGCCGCTGCTCAAGGCTCCACCTTGCTTCATCAACATCAATGTTCACAACATGCTTCTGCCAACATCGTGGCTAAACTATATTTCAGACCGGCTTTACCTTGCCTCCTACATCCATCCTCCTACGCCCGACACGCCCTTCCCTTACCCCGAGGAGCCTCAGCCAGCTTCTCCCAAGAAGCGAAGCCAACGAGCTGCTGCCGGTGCGACCCCGCTCGCCGCCAAGTCGAACCGACCGCAACCATGCTATTTCACTGTCGACGATACTCTTCTGTACAACGCTTTCCACCACGATTTTGGCCCTCTCCACATCGGCCACCTGTACCGATTCGCCATTCAGTTCCATGATATCCTAGGCGCAAAGCAAAACAAGGACCGCCCCATTGTTTTCTGGAGCGCTGCCGACCCTAGAAGTGAGCCTTCCCGTGTAAATATGTGCGAAGCGCAAGGAAACTAATACCAAGTTCAGGTCGCGCGAACGCCGCTTGTATGCTCGCATGCTACATGGTCCTCATACAGAACTGGCCTCCCCATCTGGCCCTTGCCCCGATTGCGCAGGTCGATCCTCCTCTGATGCCATTCCGAGACGCGGGTTACAGTCAAGCCGACTATGGTATCAGCGTTCAAGATGTTGTCTATGGTGTGTGGAAGGCTAAGGAGGAAAAGTGCTGCGATCTAGACAACTTTGATCTTGACGAATACGAGCGTTTCGAGAGAGTCGAACATGGCGATTTCAACTGGATCACTCCCCATTTCCTGGCATTTGCCTCTCCCCAGCACGCGCCGGTCCAGAAAATCACAGAGGGTTCCGATATGTACCCATTGCTTCCACGGACGCTAGCCGCCGTGGATGCCCATCCCAAGTTGCCAAAGCCCTTCAAGAATGTGCTGAAGCATTTTTCCGAGAAGAACATTGGCCTGGTGGTCCGACTTAACTCTCAACTCTACTCCCCCTCGTACTTTGAGGCACTGGGTATTCAGCACCTGGACATGATCTTTGATGATGGCACCTGTCCCTCGCTCTCAACTGTCCGCAAGTTCATCAGACTCGCTCACGAGACTATCACTGTCCGTAAGCAGGGAATTGCTGTTCATTGCAAGGCTGGTCTCGGCCGCACAGGTTGTCTGATTGGTGCATATCTCATTTACCGACACGGTTTCACTGCCAATGAAGTTATCTCATTCATGCGCTTCATGCGACCCGGCATGGTTGTTGGTCCTCAGCAGCACTGGCTCCATTTGAACCAGGGCACATTCCGCGAATGGTGGGTTGAGGAGAGGATTGAGCGCAGACTCAGGAGGGAGATGGCTGCTGCCAACCCTATCCCCAGCACCCCCATTCGTGCTATGCAAAAGACAACACTTCGGAACGGCCAGGCTTCGACACCCCCCAACCGAAGCCCCTCGAACCGTACTCCGCTGAGTGAAGTCGACCACGACCGCAATAATATTGGGGTCCAGGAAGACTATTTACCAGCTCCTACACCGGGCCAACCGCGAAAGACTGCCAGGGATCGCCATCACCCTTACCAGCGCTCAACCTCCAATGGGCTCGTTGTTGAAGAGCAGCGCACTGTTGAGCAAGAAGCTGAGTACATTGCGACGCACAGCCAGGCTCACGGCGGAGAGTCTGACGAGGAGTTGCATTTGCGCATGCGACGTCATCGTAAGGCGACCTCCCAATCACCCGCTCGCAGTGAGAAGACACGCTCGGTTAGCCAGACGACAGCTATATACACCATTGACAACGATGCGTCGCACGACGCTGAGAACATTGGCTCTGTGCGGACGAAGCACGTCGAACGAGTTGCTAGTACCCCTGGCGTTCTGACAAAGGTTCGCGGCAGCAAGCGGCAGGGGGAGTCTCCCCTGCGGGCAAAGGACTCTGCTGGCATTCGAAAGACAAGCGGCAGAGTAGGCAGCGCCAACCATGGAGCGTCAGTGACGGCAGCTTCGACGGCCCGTAAAGTTTCTGGAGCTTAGAAAGCACCAGCACAGCGAGTCCAGCCGCTTCAGCGTTCTAACGCGAAGCGTAACAGACAATTGTACGATTCCACGTCACGATCATGATTCACGTACGTCACGGGCAATGTTAACGTCTCTCATGCATTGGCGTTTCTGGCTCAGAAGAGGACGACGAGCGGTTTATGTTTGAATGTTAATGATTCTTCTCTCATGCACGATTGCTTCCCGAGAAGTGTTTGGCTTTCAGTTAATGTCATTTGAAACTTGCAAGATAAATCAGTTTCTGCAGCATACAAGGATCATTATGGCTACGACTTCGATGGAGTTTTGTCGTGGTCAAGGAGAGGGCAACTAGAGAGACGTGAATAATGCATACTATCTCGGATGAGGGAAAGACTGAAGGCATAACGGAGTTCAAATTTGCGATGGCGTACAGGCAGGCAGGGTTGAAATTATTATTGTGGACTTATTTGGTTTGGCATTGCACCGGGTCTTGTTGTTTCTTGATGATAGTCAAAGAGGGGGCAACGAAGAAGAGACGGTAGCGGATTTTTACGACGGTTATATAAGTTTCCAAGAGCTGAAATACATGCATCTCTTACACTATTCATTCTTTGTGGATTTCTGTCTGACGACCGAGGGTCTAAGCTTCCCATGTGGATGATCTGTCTATGGTGCTTCGTATGTAGTTCATATGAGGGTCACCATCAGGTCCGGATAGCTTCGAGAGCTGTGACAGCATCCTCTATTACCTTGCCAGCCTCAGCGCTTGTCATCTCTTCACTCACGGCCAAACACTTGTCCACGACATCGCGGTATCGACTACCAACCTTGCTACCCAGACCGGGAACGAGAACCGCACGCAGGACCTTGTCGCGCCATCGACCCGTGGAGTAGTGTGGCTTGTGGTATGTCTGAAGAACCTTCCAGAGACCTATTTCGAGGAGCACCAAACCCAGACTATAGATATCCATGGGCTTGCAGTGAGGAAAGCCCCGCAAGGAAGCTGGGTGTCGGTGCAGTGTAAGGATAGAAGGATTACGGGGCGCAACAGAGAGCGCAGTATCAAGGTCTGGTCTTGAAGCATCAAAACCCGTTAGATAAGGGCGAGCGAGCCGATGCTGAAAAGGCTGAAGGGAAGAAGAGAATGTTTGAGCTGCAAGAGCTTTTATGAAGCCAGACCATAAGGCGACAGCGAGCGTATGTGCCAAACGGACTCGATCATCGAGGTTAGGAGTCTTGAGGTCCGAGCTGGCGATGAGTTCATGGAGCGCCGAGAAAGACGGCGAGGGCGCTTTGTATACGAGCCCGTATCTGCACCGTGAAGCATCCTCAACGTAACCTACACAGTCGATGCTGTGAAGGTCGGGATGGCAATCGGAAGCGGAGTGCATCATGCGGGCAAGATCGTCAAGACGGCGCACATGAGCTACGCGCTCATCTACATCATCGCGATCATAGTCAACCCACTCAATAACAACATCTCCCGCACTCTCATGCCGCCCTGTACTTCTCCCGCCATCACCAGCATCCCCACTGAGATCAAGTGCAGCGCGGGGAACCTTGAGAGCGAACGTCGGTTTGAATGAAGCCTGGGGCTTGGCGTCTAGGTTGATCCGGAGCTTCTTGAGGTTGGCTGAAGTGATGAGTTTGGGGAAGACGCCATCTGAGGCTATTTCAAGGAGGGTAAGTTGAATAAGGTCACGCTGTGCAGACTCGAGTAGCTGGTTCGTCCAAGCCCGTTGAAACGATGGAGATGGGAGGTTGGAAAAAGCCGTTCGAGGCCATCGTTGAACTCTATCGTCAAGATTTCTTTAGCCTTTCTGTTGGGCTATTTATTGGCTTCGGAGGGGGCATTTACCTCGCAAGTCCCTTAGCAGGTTTATGAACTTGTCTTTATCTACGAGTAATCAGTTCTGTTTTGATGGATATGACAGATGAGGACTTTGAGGACTCACCTGCTACATATAACCCATCTCGCTCTTAACCCCATCTCCTTTCCCCAATTCCTTTCACCTGCTACTCTTGAAACACCATTCAAGTCGCGACTCTCATCATCTTTTGGCTTCTTTCTTGAAGGTGAAGGCGACTTCCTTGGCTTTGGCCCAGTGACATCCAAGTTGGCTCTACCCTCGGCAACTAGCCCGTAAATGTTCTTGAGTTTCTTGAAGTCTGTGACTGCGCTATGCAACTCCTCGAGGATTTGAAGTGCCAGACTCCTCAGCTGGGATTCCTTGTGCTCTCAAAATGAGCTTCAAGTTTTCCCTCCGCAACGCCCCAGTCCCGACCCCAGACGACTAGGCGCATCTCCTCGATGCGTACTTTACACAGAAGTCTCTGGCTATCTGTGTCAAGGTTGGCTGCTGCGGTGAAGAGGCTAAGGCTTTGACGCAGCCGTCGAAGAGTTGGCCGAGGACGCCTACTACGGCAAGGGCAGTTCCCACGGCTTCAGCCATTGCATTAGAGTGTGGGGGTCAAGGTAAGAAGCGACGGGATAAGACCTGTGAGACATTAAAGGCTTTGATATGAGGTGATAAATTACATGTATATGCTCATTATGAGATGTAATTTATGAGCTCCAGGCAAATACCAGCTACCTAGAGCTGGATTAGATACTAAAATTAGGGATTGGCGCTTAATCAGCCCTAGAATGTAAGGTCATCAGAGGCCTATCGCGATTCGAGCGGCAAACACCCAATCGTCACATACATTGATGTTTCGAGTTGAAGTGGATTCAACCATGAACAAAACGCTTCTTTGTAGTTACACACATGCAAATAAAACCCATCAACAAAAGAATTATTCTGATAAATTATATACACAAATTGCCAAATCTATTTTATACATGTCAAGTCACAATGTTTCTTTTCGTCGACTGACCCTTCATTGCAACATCTGCTGCATGGCATTCAGTCTGTAGCTTTCCCTCCGCTCCATCAGTTGAGAATGCCGCCCACTGTCAACAATTTGTCCGTTTTCAACAATGAAGATGATGTCAGCTTTCTGCACAGTATGCAGTCGATGAGTGATAGCCAATACTGTCGTGCCCCTTGATGCTCTCTCGAGACCCTCTTGAAGAGCTGCTTCACTCGCGGCGTCAAGGGCGCTGGTACTCTCATCTAGGAGTAGCAGCCGGGGACGACGAACAAGAGCACGGGCGATTGCTAGGCGCTGTCTTTGCCCACCTGATAGACGAGAAGCTGAGGGGCCGCATTCAGTATCGTAGCCATCAGGAAGTGCCTCAATAACATCATGTATATTCGCTAAACGGCAAGCTTCCTTAATTTCATCATCCGTGGCTTCATGGCCCGGAGGTGCTCCTAAGCCAACATTGAAACGCACACTACCGTCAAAGAGGGCAGGATCTTGAGGGACCAGGGCAATCGTATCTCGAAATGACGCTGGAAGCTTGCTGATGTCATTGTCATCGATGAGCACGCTGCCAGATGTGGGCTCGTATAAACGCTGGACCAAGTTCATGATGGTCGATTTGCCCGCTCCTGAAGGACCAACAAGACCACAAAACTGGTTAGGTGGGAGCGCGAAGGAGACATTGTCGAGTATAGTGGCATCTGGTCGGCTAGGATAAGCAAAGGAAACGCCCTTGAACGTCACTTTTGCACCTCCACGACGGTGGTTATCCGCTGGGCTGGGCGACTTTTCTCCACCGGATGCTTCGATATCCCCCCCAGTCTTAGAGGGATCCTGTCCAGGTTTTCCTGTGTGTGTGCTACTTCCCATGTTGACGACCGTCATGACGCGAGAGAGGGCCAGACGAGCACGAGAGAATTCCGGAGCAAGTGAGAACATGCCACTCCAAAGTTGTGCGCTCGTCAACATAGCGACCAATATAATAAGGAAGTCCTTCTGAGTATACTCCCCTTTCATGATGAGCTGCGAGCCCCACCAATACGCGAGAGCGTTGATAAATGTACCGGTTGTGTACGAGATGGCCAGCCAGATGTTAGTTGTGACTGAGGCACGCACAACCTGTTCCCTTGGAGGCTTCAATAATCGGGCGAAACCTTCCATGTACTCATTCTCAAGGGAGAGGACGGCCACTGTGCGGATGGACTGAATAGCCTCAGTTGCAAGTGAGGTGGCAGTAGAGAAGGCCTCGCGGTGTCGCTCTTCATAACGCGCCAGCATGCGCAGCTGCATGAAACCTGAGCCAAGCAATATTGGAAGCGTCACAAGACACACCAAGGCAATCTTCCAAGCAAATATATGGGAAATAATGACCGCGATGAGAACGTTGATGAGGATTGCGAACACGGTGCCGAAAGTTGAACCACTAAAGGCACCTACAGCCATGCTATCTTTGGTAATGATGCCAAGGAGGCTGGTCGGCGTTCGTCCTTCAGACTGATGCCAGTGGATGCCCTGCTCCAGCAAGGATCGGAACGACAGAACCCGCAGGTTGTAGAGAAGCCTTTCAGCGACAATGCCGAAGCCCAGCCAAGCAATAAAGTTGGCTATAAGCTCCACACCCGCGAGCATGAAGAACAGGCCTGCAAACATGTTGCCCATGGATTTTATGTGGTCAAGGGTATTTGCACAAGGGTTGAGTGCTCCCACAGTGAAGCCAAATATGATGCCGGAACCAGAGAAGGTAGCCCCAACGAAGACAGCAGCGATCATGGCGAGAGTGAACCAGCCCAGGGAGGGTCGAATCAACCAGACAAGACCCCTGATGACAGAGCTGAAAGGCTTTACATCGTCAAGCTCATGATCATTTGGTGCTACTTCTTCTTTCTTCTTGGTCTCCTCCTCCCGGCCCAATATCTGGGAATCCAGTGACTGAGTCGCCTCAGAAACTTCGGTCTTTTCGTTCAGCTGCGTGTCGTTTCGGAGAGTTGAAGCGCCAATAGACTCGCCGTCCACAGATCCTGTGTCACTCTTATTGCCGACTGTCTGCAGTCTTGCCATGTTCGCAAATTCGCCATCCTCTTTGGCCATAAGATCATCATAGGTTCCTTGCTCAGCGACTCGGCCAGCCTTCATGACGATAATATTGTCGGCATTGCGTATAGTGGATAAGCGATGCGCAATCGAGATGATGGTTCTTTTCTCAGCAGCAGCTCTCTCGACAGCGAGCTGGATTCTCTTCTCACTGGCAGAATCGAGAGCTGCTGTTGCTTCGTCCAGGACAAGGATTTCAGGATCACGGATTAGAGCCCGAGCAAGTGCAATGCGTTGCCTCTGACCACCACTCACAAGCGACCCCTTGGGGCCAGCAGTCGTACCATAGCCTAATTCAAGGCGTTCAATAAAGCTGGCCGCATCAGCTTGCTCAGCGGCGTGACGGATCAAATTGGCAATTTCGGCGAACTCGGGTCCGAGAGATGCTGCTGAATCTAGTGTGTCCTTGCCCTTGGCAGCCATCTTCGCAAGCTCAGGGCCTTTGAGCAACGATTTGAGGTGCTGGTGAGACTCCTTTGGAGAATTCACCAGACCTAGTGCGATGTTTTCGAGGATGGACCTATCGAGAAGCGAGGGTTCTTGCTGAACGAAGCTAATAAAACTTCGGAGAGACTTGACGTTGAGTGTTCGCAAGTCGTGTCCTTCCAGTTCGACCGTGCCCTCGGTGGGATCATGCAGACGTGCTATCAGTGATGCGATAGTACTTTTGCCGCTCCCCGAAAGCCCAACAATCGCCGTATATTTTCCAGCAGGGAAGTCAAGGGTGACGTTGTCAAGGACAGGCTGGCCTCGCCGAGAGGCATACTCGAAGGACACATTGCGGAATGTCAGGGCCTTTGCCGCACTTGGAGGAAGTACAACACCCTCTCGTGAAGTGCCGTCGATGGATGAAGGAGCATCAATATCTTCCTTGAGCCGCTGGAATGCACCTACAGCTGCTCCTAAAAATGGAAGAGTAGGTGCCATTCCGCCCAGCATGACGCAAGCGTCTACGAGAAGATAGACAATGGCATAAATCTCACCAACAGTCGTGCTCCCGTCGTTGCGTGCCACAGACTCAGCGATCTTTTTACTGCCTTGCCAGAAAGCTAGGGCATTACCGGAGTAAGCGATGAAGTACAGCAAACCGGTCTGGATAGCAGCAATGGAAGATTTAGCTATAGCGTACTTGCGAGAACAGGCCATGTGCTCTGCAAACTTCTCTTCAAGGCGAGGAGCGGCACCGAAAGCTTGAACGACAGCAACGTGCGACAGAGCCTCGGATGCGATAGAGGAGGCTGCAGCGGATGCTTCCGTCTGTTTGACCACAAATTTGCCCAGGTATCTTCCTCCTAGTATTCCGGAAAGAAGAAAGGCCGGGAGCATACATATGAGGATACCTGCGAGTCTTGGCTGTTTCGTGAAGGCAATAATAAAGACAGTGACGAAGAAGCTCATGGTTGTGATGATGTTGCCAACCTTCTCCGACGTGCCGGCCTGCACAGCTGTGATATCGCCCTGTAGTCGGCTTGAGACTTGCCCAGATGATCCACGAGTGTCGAAGAATTCTGGAGGTTGGCGCAGAAGTGCGGATACATAGCGAGTCCGTAAACGCTGAGCGAGGCGCTGACTGATGATATTCCAACAGGTGAGATGACCATAGATCAAGACAAGTGCAATGGCGCCAATCCAAGCTGTCTTTATAACCTTGTCATTGATGGCACTCTCATAGTCAAGAGGATCAGATGCTGCATCGCTCGCTCCCGAGCCGCTACCATCTGCGGCGCAGGTGGCTCCGTTGAAGTTATCGATGAGCTGGCCGAATAGGACGCCCATAAGAGGAAAGGGAACACCAGCTCCAACGGCGCAGAGAGTACCCAACGCGATGAGGAAATAATCGACCCAGGTCGGGCCCGCGGCGAACAAGATTTCGAGGTAAATAAAACAGGTTTTGAGAGACTGAGAAGACGTATTAGTATCATTTGCTTACAGCATTCATCTGGGGTTCTGGAGGAGATGGTGTTGACCTACTAAGAGAAAGCTTCTCTTGGGCTTCTCTATGCCCGACTGATCAAGTGTGACGGACATGGCTGTCGCTGTCGCTGTCGATCGAGGAGTAAAGCGAAGTTTTCTTAGAAGAGCATATCCAATGGCTGACTGCCAGTTGAGTAAGGAAGCTGCCACCAACAGAGCCCGTCAAATTCAGCGATGCCTTGGTAACCTACGGAAAGGCTCTCACGGCGCCCAAAGGAAGTGCAAAGCTTGAGGGAAGAGAACAGAGCAATCTTGGCAATCAATGCAATACGTCAGCAGTCATTCAGAAAGCCGATTCAGGAGCCCTGAGCCAAGAAGACCCTGTTACGCAAGTATCATTTAGTATGAGTATGAAAGTGCGGTTGGTCTGGGCATCTAACCATGCGTTGATGGATACAATGGCCCTGCATTGTACTCTGCGCTTTGACACAATCCATAACGACATGGCCTTGATGGGTCTCTCAGAATGAGGTAGGATCGTCTCGGTGAAGTGGATGCGAGGGTATATGGGCGACAGGTAGAACGTTTATCCTCCAAGAACTCTATTGTAGAGTATCTGGACAACGTAGGCGTGTACTTATGCAGCCAGGGTTGAGGATCAGATAAACCAGAATAATCAGATACTGTAGTATTACTAAGTTACCTAGTCTAAGTGAAGTCGGAGAAGAGTGTGGGATACGCCACGCCAATTGTGTTGGTGGGCCAAAATGGAGCCAGCCAAAGAGAATGTGGATGGTGATCAGATAAGATGAAGATGGATGGTGTGATTGATATGATAAGATGTAATGTGGCATGGCGCCAAGGCCGAGAGTGGAGTAAAGCGCCGAGCATCGGAAGTGATCGTCACTTGTTCTTGCTGTATTTGCAACCCAATGCACCGTCTTGGCTGCCGGGTGGAAAGAGCAGTTCAGAAAAAACTGAAAAGAAATAGAGTTGGATGATATCAAACGGAATTAAATGACCCATTCGTCATGACAAGGATGATCAACTTGGCGTGAGAAATCCTTGCAAGATAAAGCCGCAGGCGTGGAGAAATAAATGGTGGAGAGGCGTCGGAATGACTGCCCTCCTATCGGAGTAAAGAAAACCGCTACTAAATTGCCTAGCCTAAGGTAGCTGGAGGTCAATGTTCCGAGAGGCGTTTTTATGCTTATTCCATCGTCAGCGGGAACGGAGATTGGATGTGGCTAGGAAATGGTGGTGCCGACAAGTGACTTGATTTCTCCGGATGGATTTGTGATTTATTTTCAGACTCTAGGCAGGTATCGGGAAGTGGGAGGAATAGATGCACATGGTCCAAAAAAGAACTCATCTGTGGGCCGTTCTTGGGTAGGTATGTAGTAGATCCTTCACATGAATTGCTTCATCGGGTTTGATACCTGATTTAGAATCGAGAAACAAGTATGCATGCATGATTGGTCAAACGATTAGAGTTGCATTTAGGTATGAGAAAAGTGGCCAAGGTTACTACTATGCTTAAATCACCCACTTACGTATCAGATCCATTGGATTTCACAAGATCTTGGGGGCTCACCCACCAGAGAATGTAACTCACGCTTGCTGTCTACGGCAGTTGATCTGACACTCTGGATAGTTAGAGCTGTGCGTGCTGAGCTCTGCCACTTTGCACAGACGAGAGCATCCAGGAACCTCCTCTCTTCACAGAGCCAGTACTTGCCAAGATGCTGATCTTGTCAAGTTTCAGAAGAGAGCATCTTAGCAGGATCATAGCCCTGCTCTTGAATCTCTTGGTGTTGCATATATAAGAGGGGACGAGTCACGATGGTGTTTGAGAAAAGGTCTTGTCTGTAGATAGATACCTAGAGCAGCCCCCGTTCTATACAACTCATTGGAGATAATAAGAATCACTCGTGCCACTTTACACATCAGCTTCTCACCCAAAACCACCACCACCACCACCACCACCAATATCACGACCAACACAATGAGCCAAGCAACACTTCGCACTAGTCGTCTCGAACTGCGGCCTCTCGGGCACGAGCACGGAGACTATATCTATCAGCTCGACTCAAACCCAGAAGTCATGAAGTACATCGGGTACGGCAAGCCACTCACGGCCGATGAGTCGACGATTGTGCATAAGCTGCTCCTCGAGACAGCATCATTTGGGTCTGGCCTTGGATGCTGGGCTGGATTTGCCGGGGACGATTTTGTGGGCTGGTGGGTGCTGGCGCCCAGTCAAAGCAACGACGATCCGCCTCAGGTTAACAAGAAGCGAGTCGAGTTCGGCCTAAGAATCCTTCCCAAGTTTTGGGGTCAGGGGTTCGCCAAAGAGGGTTCTCGGGCACTGGTCAAGCATGGTCTTGAGGACCTCGGCGTGGAAGAGGTCTTTGGGGAGACCATGGCCGTTAACCAAGGGTCCCGAGCTATCATGGCAAAAATTGGACTTAAGCATGTTCGAACGTTCCACAACAAGTACGACAACCCTCCTCCGGGAATCGAGGAGGGAGAGGTGGAATATCGAGTCACGAGGGATGAATGGTCATCACGACAAGCATGTGCTGCGTAGTCTATGGCCTTGTAATAGCTTTCGACATCATCTCCAATTACTGCTTGAGCGTTTTCTGATTAAAAACCTTGTTCATTTCTATGCATTGTGACATGAATTTCAAAATAACGGCAGCCTTGTGTTGTGATAAGTGTTGGTGGCATTCCGTTTCTTTTCACTTCTAACTATCCCCTGACGGTCCCAAGGCGTCAGATGAATGATCACCCCAGTTTTCCACCCTTCTTGATTCTCTTGTTAGATAGGCCGGCAGCGGATGTTATTTGATTCCGTTGTCGATCTTGATTTTTCATCTGACGCCTTGGGACCGTCACAAGGGGATACCTACGAAAAAGAATAAGAAAAGGCTTGGAAGAATACCTAGAAGGGGTGCTGCTTTGGCTCTGGTCTGTCCATCTTCTAGGGCGTCTCTGGCTTCCTGCATCAGGTGGTGGCAACAACTCCATCTAATGCCAGAGGTGAGGATGATGATGGAACATGTGGGCTATATCGCGCATCGTTCTTGGTCTTGGCCACGCGGCCCGTCTAAAAGGGAACATTCGGCAAACTCCGCTTCATGCAATGGAACAAGAGTTATTCTGTACCAAGGGATTGATCTAAGAACAGTCTTGGATTATCGCTCGGTTGGACTATGGCTTGGCACCGTAGGTCCCTGGTAAACCAGTGAACCGAGAGCCAGCGTGTAATTAGTTGCTACTCCGTAGTATCAGCCATTCGGGATTAATCGCTTCAAGGAAGAAATCCAAGACCGAAAACATACTAGCCAGGTTTCATTCCGTGGGGGGCTATTCAACTCTTGTTATTGGACCTGGTCAAAGAATATGCACGAGATGGCATTCCTGCAAGGTTGTTCACAGACACCCTATTAGTTTCTGGCGAGGTAGTTTATCGGCCCTTGTAAACAGCATCGTCTTGTCTAAGGATAAGAAAACTGGTCCATAAACTACCTCCAAGGCACAGAATAGCACGACGAACCTAAAGTGTACGTTGGTCATTGTACTTCTCGAGTCGACAGGCATGTATGTATCCATCCACAAAGCGTAGGGATTTTCCATGCGTCCTTTGCTGGTCACAGTGGGCTCAGACGATTCCAAGCTTATGCCAAGCCACTTGATACGACCAGGGTCCATGGGCAGCTTTTTCGGCATCGTACAAATTATTCAGTTTCCGGTCATTTTTAGGCCTAGCACTCTATTATTGGTCCGTTCAGTTATTTAGCGTTGTGGTGCTGTTGGTTCTTGTTCTGTATGTCGACTTATTTCCAAGACTGCCATGCCACTAACACGACACTCCCTTTGCCCCCTTAGAAGGATGAAGCTGTTGACGATTGGATCTTATCCATCAATCAGATTAGATAAAAATTTTCACATCATCCATGTTCCGATTTCGGGTCACTTCCCCCACTCGTTTGCCACTTGTAATCTGATCCCGTCTGTTGACCAGCTGCGGGACACCGTCCTATTGGGGAAAAGGCCAACTGAGAGCATCCCTTCAGCCCAGAGCCCGATGTTTTTCATAGCTCCTTGGCCTAAAGCCTCGCTCGTCTCCGAGGCAAGCTACAATGGACTGTTGCAGGGGAAGTGTACCGTGTGGAGAGAGAGTTCCGGTGCAGAACCAACACATGGTAATATGTACAGTAGACAACTGACAATCGCCCAACTCTAGTCCTTTGCATATGCCCATGTCAGTGTTACATTGCACTACATAAAGAATGCAATAGCTCCCCCTCTTACCCTCACTCTTCCCATCACAGTTCCAGTGTGTTGCAGCTTCGATCGCGATTTCACTGCACTATCAATTAGGGTTGATCTCCAAAGCAGCAATGTCAGCCCTAGCAAAGATCCGCGAGGGCCTCGCTCGCGAGGACAATACTCCTGTCGCGCATACGCTGGCTCCCCACGAGAAGGAGATCGAAGAGACTCCTGAGATCATCACCGAGACTGGTCCTAGCCACGACAAGGAGGCCACTGCTGGTGCTCTCCCTCCTGACGATAAGGGCAACGATTCTGATGTGCCCAGCGAAGATGTCCAAACGGGAGTCAAGGAGATTCAGGCCATTACCCTCACTTGGGGTAAGGGATCCCTGGCTGCTCTTTTGTGTCTGTGAGTTGTACTCCCGGAACTGACTCTTGGTAAATATCTCTAACCAAACTTCAATAGCATCTGGACACTCTTCCTTATAAGTGGATTCCGTGGTTCCTTCTACCTCGTCTTGGTGCCTTATGTTACCAGCGAGTGGCAGGCTCATTCTCTCATGACCACCATCCCCATCGTATCAGACGCCATGACCGCAGCCTGCTATATCCCCATGGCCAAGGCTCTCGATGTCTGGGGACGCGCTGAGGGGTTCTTACTCATGAGTGGCTTTGCAACTCTTGGTCTTATCCTTATGGCTGTATCCCAGAACCTCGCCACCTTCTGTGCTGCACAAGTCTTCTACTCTGTCGGATGGGGAGGCATGATATATGCTGTTGGCGTCCTCGCTGCCGATGCATCCAATCTCAGGAACCGAGGTTTGGCCTTTGCC